CCTGACGTTTAAGGATAGCGGTAGGGAACAGAGAGGGAAATCATTCCCCTCCAGCTGCAGACCTGTTTGCCTGCTCCGTTCTAGAAGGCATGCAAGAGCAGCAGCTGCCCTTCTGAAGAGATTTTTCTCTTCAGGCAAAGATAGAAAGTATGATGGTAATGGAAGTTCAGGCATTTTTGTGAGTCTGGATGCAAAACCCCATTATTTCTGACCATAAAAACTTTGTGACACCAACTCTGTATCGTATGCTGAACATTACCAGCAAAGTGTTCTCTTCTGGTATTCTAAGCCCTGAAGAAGGACTTGTTTGGGTTTTTTCCAAATGTGACATCTATGTTTTTAAAAATATTTTCTCTCTCTCTACAAAGTGAGCTCTTACAGCTTCAGCAAAGCTACTGCTGCTTGCTCTCTTTCCATTTGGAGACAAAACACAGCAGTTGGAGAACAAGGGTATGTTTTGGGCTGAGCCGCCACATTGTCATTCAGAAGATCTAGTTTGAGCATTCATCCTGTCACAGCTACTCTGCGAGCTGCTTAATCTTTGTGCCTCCTTATCTCATCTGTATAGGAGGATAATAATTCTTGTCTTGTTCAGGGGCAGAGTTCACTTCCTTCTACAGCATCTCGTGTAGTGGGAACCCGATTTAATCTTAACCTGTGCCAACATTATCTACAGAAGCTGTGCAAGGCAGAGCCAGCTTCTTGGTGACCTGGAACAGGCTGAAAAGTTCATGGAAGAGGTAGGGACATGCACTAGATTAAAAAAACAAAACAAAACAAAACAAAACAAAACAAAACCCCACACCTTTCTGTCAGTATAAAGTAAGTAGATGCTTATCCATGCAAGTGTATGAATCAAAACATTGTCCAGCCCTTGTTCAAATTCAATAGGCCAGAAAGTCCAACTGCTTTCCAAAGGCACGTCACACAGTTAAAGGACAAAGGTCCCTATGTATTTGAGGTACAGGGCCGGCAGTGATCCATGGTTCTTTGTAGGAACAGTGACCACAACACAAACTGCCTCAAGTTGGCAAACACAGCTAAATATTAATGACAGCAGCTTTGAATACTGCTGTTCAAGAGAAAATACAGAATATGGGAGGTGGTGAAACTGGACAGCTGTCTAAAGCAAAGCACGTTTCCATAATCCACACGTGAAGAAACATGCAGAGGTGAAAATCTGTTCTAAATCAGCTTGAGAATCGGTCCGATTCATTTCAGAAGAGACAATATAGCTTTGTGTCAGTGCAGGCAATAACAAGTGTTCAAATATCAGGATCCCAGTTCCCAAAATCATAAGACTGTTTTTAAAAAAGCCCTAAATTAAATAAATGCTTGTGATTGTTGTCTTTTAATTCTACTGCTGCCCTCAGCTTCTGTTTTCTAACATTCTGCACAATATTCCTTCAGACCGAGACTCCTACATACCCCTCTGAATCCAGAAGCTGGAATATAAAGTAAAAGCAAACAAACAGCTATTATGAACTGCCACAGACAGCAATATGATTAACCATGAATATCAGCAACCTTTTTGTTAGCATGTAGTACAGAATAGTAAGGTGGAATAGGCCAAATGTGGAATAATCTCAGACATCTTCCAAAGCCTAGAGTAACAGGGAGAAGAACAGTCACTCCAAGATGAACCAGAAACTTTATCTACATATTCAAACAGGGAAAATTTCCATTTTTCAATGCCATAAGCAAGCAAGCATAAAGTGAACTGATAATATTCACATATGGAAGTTAGTTATTTAAAAGTTAAACTGATCTGTATGCTGGGTTATTTGTAATTGAAAAGCCAGCTAGCTCATGGGTACCCGCTGAAGCGTGAGATTTAAAGTAAGCTATAAAACATGAACATTAGCGTCTGAAATCTTTCGAAGACAGTTTAACTCTCAGAAACAAAGACATTCTCAATCTGAAATGCAACGCCTGTGGTTTTTGTCATCCAAAGTCAGATTATTCAGTCTCTAAAACAGTGGTTTATTTGGATGTTATACATTCAAATGAACACCATTTGATATTCAGTCTGTCCCCAAAGTGCTTCAAAGAGCTAACTGCTCTGATTTTTGAGGGATTACAAAGTGATGAATTTTTCTTGGATTAAATTTTAACTTGAGCAGAGGTCTTAAAACAGTACAATGAAATACTGATTTTTTTTTATTATTTTTTTTTACTGCCATAGACACGTCTCCTAACGTTAAATTCTTAATAGTACATACTGGTCTGGAAAAAGATATTTGTAGGGTCTGCTCAACTGTTTTCAACAGTGACTCAGGTAAAAGAAAGTGATAGTTAAATGTCTGTATCATGATGAAATAAGGAGCATATCATCATTGTGAGAGTGATAAAGCCATGAAAGCTTCTGCAAAGACAAATACAACATTTTATATGCTGTGCTCAGCATAAAGCAGATTTATCAAAGACAGGTTAGTTGACTTAATCTAAGGTCAGCAGAGGGTATTTTACAGTTTATGACATGTAGGAGAAGAGACTATGTGATCCAAATGCCTAAATTCTCTCTATATACAAAGTAAGATATAATACACAGGCAAAATGCAGCTCATATTAAGAGGCGATCATATACTCTTAATGCAAGACGATAAACTGAACTTGTTTAGCATTGCAGGGAAAAGATGTAAGCAACGTCAAAGAGCGAGGGAAGACTCTGCACCTGTGTCTGAAGGAGCGTGAGAGGTGTTAGTTGTACCAAAGTCACATGGACAGAGACATGACAGACGCTATTATCACCGTGTCTGCCAAGACCAAGCACAGTAGAAGCCAGAATGCAGTTAGGAAAAACACTAGTGATCATGCCCAAAAAAAAACCTGCCAGATCCTGTTAAAAGGAGCTGGAGAAATATAATGTATTAATAATAGGTACATGGTTTCACAAAGTGTTAAAAATCCATGGCCCATGTTGGACCATGATCTTTGGCAACAGACCCAAACCTGGGGAATGTGTCACACCATGAAGCACACATCCATTTAACTTCTTGGTGCACTAACTAGCTCCGGGAGCCTGACCGGACTCTGAGGCAGGAGACTGCAAATGCAGTTAAAGAAAGTGCCTTGCCTTCCTTCTTCAACAAAGTGACCCCTGTGCGCTTGTTAAATTTTATTCTGCAGGTAATTGCTGACTAAAATCATAGCAAGTCTGCACTCAACCTTGCTGGTCAAAGGAGGTGTTGCCTGTATTACAGTTTCTTGCTACTGAAGGTATCTAATAAGAAGGGAGTCAGATTTTCTGAGATGCCTATTTATTAATTGGCACAACAGAAATAGAAATAGGATAGTATTGGTAATGGTTTACTTTTGAGGTAGAAAAGCGCATATATATTCCAGCAACAGGATAACAAATCCGTGCAGTTTGTACCACACTAATTTGTTAAACATGTTCTGCTGTGTTGGTAACGGAGATGGTTTTGCATCTGGTGCCTTCATAAGGCATTGATGAGGCTACACTGTTCTGACACTAAGCATACGTAACAATGTATTAGGTGATGCTAATGAAGTTAAATGATGCAAATGCAGTGTTTAAACAGTAGAATAAGCTATCTTGAACATACTATGCAATATGTAACCATGAACAGTTTACAAAGAACGTGTAAATCGTAATCTAGGGGCTAAAAGAGAGTGTTTGACTGATGAGGTATATTTGGAAATGCTTTCCCCATGGTAAGATCTGTGGCAGCTATCATTTATCTCACTCTGACCAAGACAAAGATAATCTGAGTATACAAGCAATAACAAATCTTCTGCTGACTAGAATGCTCTCTAGTGCTCTCTTCAATTTCAGCAATAGGCTATTAGCTCATTGCTTGTTCAGCTTCTCCTTTGCAAAACCATAATAACCTCCTCGTAACTTCATTAGCTTTCACACAACTGGAGGGACAAACCTAGCAGAAGTTCTATCTTCCACTAGCTACTAGCAGAAAACAAGAAAATGGAAAAGCACTCTGCATTACACACCCAGTAACTGTCCCTCCGAATCAATCAAAAAACAGTCTAGCTTATTGTAAAAGGAAAATAAAGAGCAAGAAGCGACATGCTGAACAAGCAGCAAATGGTTAATGTTCCTCAGCCCTGAAGCCAGGAATGAGCACTGAGTAGCTCCCATCCAGAAAAATGTATTAGCACCATCAAACCGTCAGATACCAAGACACAGGATGCCGGGGATCCATCCAGGGAGGAATTTGTGAAAGAATGAACAATAAAAAGACAGGCATTGAGGTGACAATAAAAAGACAGGCATTGAGGTGACAATAAAAAAGACAGGCATTGAGGTGACACCTGCAGAGGCTGGAGAACAATTTCCAGAGAATGAATGTTAATGAACCAAGGTTTAACTGTTATCAGTCCCCGTTAGAGATCATGACTATGAGAAACAATGAGAGCTGTTTGTATTGCTTTCTCCCTGCAGGACATGTCTGAGGGAGAATAAACCTCTCCTTCTTCAGTGCCTGCTTGTTACTGCTAGCACTGGCTATAACTGAGTAAGCTCTATTCAGATGATAGCTAAATTTAGCAGAGTCTCTAGAGGTGCAAAAGCAGGGGAAGAAAGCTTTAAATAACCTAAATAATAGATGCAATTTATGGTGGAATGAACCTCTGTGCCTTAAATCTGGATTTTGGAGCCTCACCAAGACAAAACGGGACACCCCTGCTGACGCCCTGGCTTGCTGCTATTGTAGCTACCCCCGTGATGGCGAGAGCCCCTCAGAGCCCTGGCCCCCCTGCAGGGGCCCCGTGAGGTGTAACACAAAGGGCCTGCGGGCCGCTGCCGGGCCACACGCCGCAAAGAGGGGAGCGGGGGGGCGATAAGGAAAAGCCACCGGCAAGAACCCGGCGCACCCGCTGACGGGCGGCGCGACGGGGCCTGAGGCAACAACACCCACCCACCCCCCCCCGCCCGACACACAGACACCAATATGGCGGCGCCAGGTGTGAGGGCGCCGCGAAGTGGCTTCACGCGTGGCCGGAAGCGTGGTGACGTCGCCGGAAGTTGATCGCGGGGAAGAGGGGTGGCGCGCGGTCATGTCGGCCTCCCTGGTGCGGCGGGGCCTGGAGCTGCTGGAGGCGCCGGGTGGGTTCCGCGGGGAGCGGGGGCTGTGGGGGGCCGGGGGGAGGGCGACTCGCGGCGTACGGCTGTGGGAACTCCGTCCTTCTTCCCGCTGCAGGCCGGGGAAAGGGCCCGCCGGGACTCCAGCGGGGGCGGGACGGCCCCAGGGCGGCGTGCGCTGGCAGGCGGAGGAGGAAGGCGCCGGAGGCCCGCAGGAACCAGGCCACGGTTAAGGGCAGGGTCGTGAAGTCGGCGATAGGTGAGACCCGGCCCGCCTCCGGGGGGAGAGCGAAGCAGCTCTGCCGCCCTCCACAGCCCTCACACCGGGTCCCGGTGTGGGGTCCCGCAGCCGCCCTCCCGGTCGCTTGTATCCTGCCCTTCCCATCCTGGGTGCCCTTTTGGTGTCCCCCCACTTAACTACAGCCTGGTCTGTGGGCGCACCCCTACGCCTGAGCTGTAGCTGTCTCTCTCCCGGGGCCTTGCTGATCCTTCTGGGTGTTTGCATGCTGGACGTCTTTGTCCTCTTTTGTTCGCTGCCTGGGTGAGGAGCTGATGTGTTTTGTCCCACTCTGCTTTGGTCTAGAGGAGTATCATAAGAAGAAGGCCGCGAATCACTTCAGAGAAAACCTGCAGTACATGTTGAAGGGACGATTTGTTGCAAACAAAGCCATCACAGAACAGGTAAGACTGTCGCTTCTTTGTTTGGGGTTCTGCTTCTGATGAGAAACACAGGTGAATGGGAATCATCCCTAGATCTTCCAGCTTAGACCATGTGCAAAGGAGTCAAGTTTCTGTCCACAAGAGGCCTTGAGGAATTTATGTGTGCACTGGCAGACTAACTTACTAAGCTTTAAACTCTTGTTGATATGTTGTCCCCCTAAAACGTTTTCTGATACTAGTTAAAACATACTGTCAACTGTTTGCTTTTCTTAATTACCGAAAATATTGCATAGCTTCAGTTGGCAAAGAAGCCCAGGTTCAGACCTTCCCCATACTGTGAGTTGAACTGGTCTTCTCTGTAGCTGGAGGCAGTTTAGCAAAGAACCAGATGCACTGCTGTTTCACATAATAGGAATTTCATAGCACCTTGAACAGTGTTTCTCATAACCTGAGAATTTACCCAGATGTTTTTCCCAAAAGGTAGTTCCACACTAGGATTTGAAGAGGAGAATAGCTGACACAGTTGGGTTATTTTTATGAGATACAGGCTGTTAACTTACATAAACAAATCAAGTGGTTTAGGCCAGTGTTTCACAGGGTGGAGGTTGTTGGAAAGGAGGTGATGGTATATTAGAAAATGCTGGGGGAATTCCACCAACTTCTTGGGTTTTCAGGTTGTCTCATGGAGAGATAGGGTAAAAAGAGGTCACAGTTTCAGAATAGTCTGATTTGAAATTAGTGTTTCTATCTCTGTGACAGTTACCAGAGAGTAGTTTTCATGTTTGACTAAAAATACTAAGTTGGTATCTGCTGTTGTCCCAGTGACTTGCATGGGTTAATATCGGTGATTGCCTCTCACTTTTCTTTGGAGGCATTCCTGAATATAGCAAGGTACTAGTAGAATAGCAGGGATGCTGCAGGTGAGCTTGAAGATCACCATTTTGTTGTTTGATCTGGATAATATTGACTCTTGTTTTTTCCTTTTTTTAATTGTCTGAAGATTCTTGCTCAGAACAGAGGCAGAAAGTCCAAAGATCAGCCTCCAAAGAAGGCAGAAAAGAAGAAGCCCGAGGGCACTGTCTTTACTGAAGAAGATTTCCGTAAATTTGAGAGAGAATACTTTGGGAGGCCGTAAACAACATGACAGGGATTCTTGCAGCTCCAGTCTTTCTGCAGCTGGGTGCTCGGCGTGCAGGACTGGCCACTTCTTCAGTGTGTTTGAGATAGGACATCAGAGGTGTGCCTCTGTCAGCAGGTGCTTTAATGTCACACTTTCAGAGCAGCTGTGCACCTGTGCAGAACTTGTTACTGGCCAGCTAGAGCCACAAAGGTTCTTTTGGCTCTGAGGTGTGTTGTCCTTATAATTACCTCCCTCCAGTTAACATATCTTGCATTCTTAATGTAGAAGGGTGGGCCAAGCCAAATACAAATCTTGTTCCCCTTCTTCAGGATGTAAGGCTTCTGCAACCTGTGTTATTTGGCATGGAGCATTTTAAAGTACTATATCTGAATGGAGAAATGTTTTGGACCAGCAGTAATAAATCATTGGAAGGGAAGGATGCTTTGAAAGACTGTTAAACCTGAGAAACCCTGCAGTTTCTGTTCTTATTACAGCCTGTGTCAGGTTTTTCAGTCATTGTAAATACTTTTTTTATATGTTGTTTGATTAAATAATTGTTGCAGACACTGCCTCTCTTTGCCTTTGTAATCGTGGTTATTATGATAGGCTATGACTGATGAAGACGAACTGTGTCACTGTTCTGATCCAAGCATCCCTCTCTTTAGGATGACTCAGTAGTGTGAATGGCCTCTCTGATTCATGTTGACACATGTATTTAATCTTCTCTCCGACGTGCTGAGGCCTTCAAAGAGTGCAGGTCGGAACGGAGATGACTACTTTGGTTTGCCTACTCACGGTCTCGTCTCCCTTCCCCAAGGAAGAGCTCTTACACAGAGAAAGTTGTCCTTTGGATGCTGCTTATACCTGAGCCTCCCACTGAGGTTCAGCCACGCTAGCAGGGCACGGCTGCTGGGGGTGCTGCCAGCTCCTGTAGCCAGGGGGGGTTGCAACCCAGATGTTAGCCTCGGCATGAAGGTGAAAAATAACCGAGCCAGAGGTCTGGGTGCTGGGTTGAAGGGAAAGTGTTTTTTTTTTTTCTATCAGACTGCTGCTAAATTCCCGGCTGCAACAAATAGAAGGCCCAGCAGGTGGGAGTGTTGTTCCAGACACTTCCTCATTAAACCACTGTCAATGTGCTTCTGGGGAGCTCCTGCCACTGCTCTTTTCTGCCCCTTACCTAAGAAGGTGGGAAGTGTGTTCCCTCTGGAGAAAAGAGGTAAGGAGAAGGATTAATGACAAGCTTTGGTTAAACTCAGGAGCTGATTACAAGGGGCTTGGCTGACCTCAGCAGCAGCTGCTCAGATATCAGCACTGACAGGAATTTGGTATTGCTTCCCTGCCCTTTGATTAGAATTCCTGGTGCCATCCTCTTAAGTCTGCCTCCTCTATTGTGTTATTTCCCTCCTGTCTGCATGGAAGGGAAGGTCACCCAGATGCATGAGGTCCAGACAGGGGAAATAATGAACATACTGAAATGTGTGTACTGGAAATTGGGTAATAGCGTGTGGGAGGGATTTCTTGTAATAGGATCAAGTTCAACTGTCTGCAGCCAAAAGTGGTAAATATAGAACAGTTCAAAGACCAATTCTGTTCATTTGTGAGTTTGTTCTTGCTCCCAAAATTAAAAAAAAAAAAAAAAAAAACTGGAAAAAAAAGAGAATGACTGCTTCTTAAAAGAACGGAAACACCATTGTTTGAAAAAGTAGTTGAGCAAAATGTTTATGCAGCACACGCCTCCTTAAAACCTCTGCACTCCGCCTGCTGCAGTGTATGTGAGCTGGTCTAAGAGTAGCTCTGTGTGGGGCTGTCACGGAGACCATTAAGGGTGTGAAAAAGCTGGTTGTGCCACGACTGCAGTTTTGAAAGAGGTAGATTTCCGGGGTGTTACTGAACATGGGGGCTTGAAACAAAGTATTTGGCAGTTCCTTTGACCTTACAGAGGTCCTTCATGTCCTCTCCTGCACCTCCTCTACCAGTTCCTCCTACACACCCTTGTTTATGTGGTTGTTCAGCTGCTGGGCCCTTCTTCAGGCTGAGGAAAGCAGAGCCATCCTTTGTTGCTCCAGAAAGGAGTACTAGGGTAATGCGGTTCACTTTCTTTGTATAAAACCCAGATTGTTTGCTTGCAAATGTAAGCAAACAGGAAAGCTGTTCTTTCAAAGCTAATGAGGAACTTTAAAGTGGGGCCCAGAGCAGTTTTGCCCAAGGATAATAACAACACCTAGATCTGTGGAGTTTTAAAGTTGGATGGCAGCTCTCGTTACTGGCTGGAAAGACTATTAGAGCCAACATAAGCAATCAACATACTCATGGCTATATGCCATGAGACATTATATTGTTGGAGAGGGTAAAACTACCTGGCAGTCTGGATTCTGCCATCTGAAATCAAACTTGGTTGTACAGCCAACACTATCCTTAAGTAAATTAAACTTTATTTTATGTGAAGAAGGAAAAACAAGCAGAAGTGAATGGGTAGCTCTAGATAAACCATCATCTTTGAGGGCAAAGATCTGACATGTTCTAGCCTTGATTTTCCCTCCTCTCTAGCAGAGCAGGAGCTCTTATGAAAGAAGAGCAGCAGTGCCACCTGCACAGTGGGTAGTTAAGGACAGGAGTTGGTCCCTGAGGGGAATGTCTTCAAGCTACAGGGGAGAATAGGTACCAGCCTGTTGCACGTGCCTGGTGGTAAGCTAAAGCTAAGCATCTCCTCATACTCCCAACTGTTTACATTATGGTCTAGTCATGCCTAGAGCATGCCAGCTCTTCGGCTGCGCTGGGACCCCCGGAGGTGCATACCTTGGAGCAACCTGTGCCATCTCTCCGTTTCTGCAGCCAGTATTTTCTGCCCCGCGTAAGAGAGAAGAGGGGATTAGGGAAGGAGCAGCTGCCATAGCTGCTCTTCCTAGTCGGCCTCCAAGCTCCGGTTCCCACGCTGGAAGCTCACACACCGCAACCCTCAGACCTGCGGGACGGCGTTTCTCTCCCGCGCAGCTGCGAGCAGCAGCACAGGGAGGCATCCCACTGCTGCGGGGTGAGGGTTGCGTGCTGGCTGAGCTCATCAGCCTGCTGGCTCTCTTCCCAGCTCTGCGACACCCGCCCAGGCAGCCTGCAGCAGAAAAGAAGAGGTAGCTGAGCTACGGAAGGAGGAGGGTGCCATCTTACAGTGCATCCCCACCCACAGGCAGCAGGGAGATGGAATGGGAGGTGGCAGCAGCAGCTTTAATATAAACGCAAATAAAAGCTCTGGAGTGTTATTAATGTGGTAGAACCCTTCTAAGGAAAGGGGTTAGAGGAGGCAGAATAGCCCCCAGATGCTCAGTGTTGGGCTAGCTTATTGTGAGTAAGATTCATCAAGCCGGTTAATGGTCTGTTGCTCCCTCTGTTATGTAAATGGAAAGCACACAGGAAAATTTGTTTAGACAGGTACGAGATATTTTAAGCCGATACAGCCTCTGCTGTATCAGCAAGTCTTTACTACTTTAGTGCAGAAAGCAACAACAGCTAATATCAGCATTATATGTGTATCAGGAAGGGGGGAGGACTGCAGATGTAACCCAAGAAATCATGGTTGCCCAGGACACTAACCAACTTCTTGCCTCTGAAATGACACAGCAGTAACAAACCTAGCGGTCAATGAACGAGGGCAGACTGTAAAGCTCGCTCAGGCAAACAAGACTTGAAATGCTGAAAAAGATGTGGGGAAAAAAAAACAGCTGGGGAGGGTCCTAAAAACTTTTTAGAATCACTCTCTGGTTTCTTTTTCATTATTTCTGTTTCAATCTTGCTGCTGATCAGCTCCGGCACCTACAACACTGACAGCCTCGTGAATGCCTTGGGTAAGGGATCAGTTATTGTAGAAAGAGTACACAGCAGCAGCACCCTGAATAACTCACAAAAGGAAGAAGCTACAGCAAAACGAAGTTTCTCATTTTGAGATAAGAAGACCCATCAATTCAGTCAAAAATGAGGAATGTAAAAGAAAGCAGGCTGCCTAACACCTGCTAACAGCTCAAAATGTGGAACTCCAGCCAAGCCAGGCTGAAGGGTTAGTAGGTTTGAGATGGATTAAGGGTTCGCATATCCATAGTTACATCAAATGGGATTAACAGTGCTAACCACTAACTGGTGGGGGCAGGGGAAATAAAAAGCATAAAGGTTGCTCTGCAGCTGTGTACAGGGTTACATGCACCTTTTTCTGAACGAATTAGCTGCTGGCAGTGCTACCCAGCAATCTAGCCAAGCTGGTCTGTCCTGAGCTGCACCATCTGCGTGCCAGAAAGTTCACCTAGCTCCCTTAATGGGAGGCAAAGACGAGGTCTCTTTCTCTGACTGTCTGTGTGCTGCACTGGAGATGCAGAGGATTTACAGAACTAGGAGATTTTCTGCCCTCCATAAATTAAGCTGACACATCTGCCGCGCTTGGAACTCATTCCCTGCCATTTTTTAAAAGGGTGTGTACGCGTAAAAGAGAAGAAAAAAAAGCAGCTGAAGGAGAAATGAGAGGCGGATAGCCATTACTTGGAGAACATGCACCTATGTAATAGGGAAATTAGAGCTTGTGGGTAGAGCCAGCTTCATTCAGTGGCTTGTGACACTGCATGAGTGCACTGAAAATAATGCAATGACAGCGTACCTGGGATACCTGAGCAGCCAAAATAGTATTGCGTAGGTTGGGACCTCTGTTAATTCACAAAGTCCAGCTAAACATCCTGAAGCATTTCAATGGTCAAATGTCAGCAATAATGAGCTTTTTTAGCACAGCAAGGTATGCTTGTGGTAAGACCCTGAGACTCTCTTTGCGCTGGAAATGAAGTGTAACAGGAGTGTATGTGCCGGGCAGCATGGCAAGGCTGTGGATACATCGGGAGGATAGAGGAAGGTAGGCTGTCTCCAGAAGCTGCTTGAACCATATTAAGAGTAAATGAGTGTGCACAAGATAGAAATTATGCATATAGGAAGGACAATATAGATCCTGTTATTTCTGAAGGCCTAAGCTTACAGCAAAATAAAGAAAATGTGTTATTCTGACCAAAAATGTATAGATTTGCCACCCCAAGTCATCTTTCTGAATTAGAAACAGGTTTATTAAGTGGAGGAAAAGGGTGGCTACACAGCAGTGAGGGTTGAGAAAGCCAGGGACATCTCAGAATAGAGAAAGTATATGGATATACCAAGAACAGAAACTGAACCATACCAAAAAAAAAGGTGAGGCAATACTTAATGAGGTTGTGGGAAACGCGGGCAAGACAAAGAGTGTGGTTTTTTTTCAAGAGGCACATGACTCCTCTCTGGAGACATGGCTTTGGGGCTGGGGGATAGGGGACTGTGACCGGCCCACCACTGAGTGAAATTAGTTTGATCAGAACAACCCACATTTTCTTTCTACCAGTCCAGCTCAGCAGTGCTGAGGGAGCATTCATCTCCCAAAGGGCAGCCTGTCCTTGCAGCTATTCCTGGGCTTTCTGCCAGGGCAAAAGCTATTTGGAAGATTTTATCGTCATTCTTTCTTCATTCTCCAAAGCTGCAGCTGGGGATTTATATTTGTAAGCACACTGCAAAGGTGC